GAACTAAGCGTTACCAGTTTCGCAAAATTAGGAGGTCTCGGAGCTTATAGTATAGATAATATAAAAATTAGATTAGATTTATTAAATATTATTACTCATTTAACGCTGAGTGAAACATGCAAGAAACAGATTCCAAAATTGAAACTAAAACATGATTGACTTACTGACACAGCAATGTAAGATTTATAGAGCCAAAAACGAACAAAAAAACCAGAAACGGCTAACGCTAGTCAATTCCATCAGCATCACACTACTCTACAGTAGAACTGCAGAACAGAAATAGTCATAGGGTATTGATATTCCTGTGACCCCAAGGTAATTTGTCAATCCAATCCCTGGTGGGACCCTTCCCATCACTATTTCCTTGAGGACCAAAAACTTTAAAAACCCACGATTTTTGCAGCACTTAACAGTCGAGCAAAGTTACTCTGCTGTGATCACAATGTTTTGGAAGAATGCTTACCTCTAGGTGTATTGTGTTGAATGGTGATTGGATGAGAGGCATGTTTTTCTTCGGTTTCATTGCTTGATGCTAGCTTTTCACGCTCTTGTTTCTCCCTACTATGTTGTGCCACCTGGGCATAGCTTAATTTAACAACTACGCCTCCACTTCCTGAACTAGAGCTAGTTTCTGACTGCTGCAAAAAGGGAAAAGCAATTCTACGATGACAAAGACGCTCAACATGAGGATAAAGTTGATAACCCTACAATATCGAGAGTAATCACAGCTGTAATGGGGTGGTTGCATTCAGCTAGGATTAAAAATTTTAAATATTTATATATTTTTTTATCTGTACCTCGATTTTTCAAGGTAATGAGCAAAAGAATGGTGAGAGGTAAAAAGTAATCACTTTTGAAAATTACCACACTACCTGGGGTCTACCTCTAAGTCTGGAGCCATAGACAGTGACATTCGGCATTTTCAGTACCCTCCTTAGAGGAGGAGCAAGAATTGAAGAGACATACATATTTAAGAATGGTTAACTCTTCAGAGTATACTCTTGAACATGAATGTCTAAGGATACAACACCCACGTATCAATGGTGAAACTGCAAAAATGCGTATCTTGATTTATTGTGTAGCCAACTTCCTGTACTGCTTTATTTTTTAAATGGAAAATACTAGATATCATTTTATTAAAACTTTGGTGATTTATTCTCCTCTATGTAACAAACACTCGATGATAATTTCAAGCCATGATGCTGGTTCTGTCTTAAAAAAGAATAAGAGAAGAACTTTTCAAACACAGCAAGCGAGAAATGCATTTTAGCAGTTTCAGTGTTTATACATCTAAGTTAGAGTTGGGCCGGGTATCCAGCAATTATCCGGATTGCCGGATTATTCGGCCAGATTCCGGATCCAGTATTATCTGGTTCCGGCCGGATACAAAAAATCGATATCCGTATCCAGTGACGCGGAGTATCCATTTCGGCCCAACTCTAAATACAAATAAAACAAATCTCATAATTTTTTCCTCTTAGTCCTGCCGCTAAATCTCAATGAAAGTCTAACATTAGAGTCTTACTGCCAAGTTCAACAGTGGCATTAACACTGCTGGACAAGGGACTCACCTCTGACTGTGTCTGATGTGGTGTAGAGTGTTCAGTCATGGTGGTAGCATTGTTTGTAGCAGTGTGATGTTTGCTCACAGTGCTGCTGGGTGCCACTGATCCCGCAGTCGTTGTCACTACTTCCTCCCTCTCATTAGTTTCATCAGTCTTGGTCCATTTCTCTTCAGTACCAGCTCCTGTCCCTGTACCTGATCTAAAAAAAAAAAAAAAAACCAACAAAATGAGCCAATGCATCATGGTAAGGCAAACAGGAAACTGCATGTAAATATACAGAATTTATTGACTAATTAAGTGGCTACGTCATACATTTTGTAACTCAGATCCATGCTTCTATTGTAACCAACAAACAAACAGACTTTCCATGACAGACTTTGATGGTTTCGTTGAAAAGAAATACGCACTTGTCATATTGGCCCGATGGTGGTAAAATGTTTTTAGGTGTTCGTTGCTATCGAAATTTCTTACGTTTAATGAGTCAATAATTGATTTATGATTTGTTAATGACCCAATAGTAATGAATAAAAAACAATTAACTTTCGACAGAATATTAATATGAGGTTATATTCTTGGGTTCTGCTATGAATCATCACAAATTGATATGTCAAATAAGTATTGCAAGAATGCTACAGCCTTGAATCGTATCTATTGAGCTTGCGGGGAAAAAACACAGTTTATGCTCCAAGCAGTAAAGTTTAAAGAGAGGAACATTGACATGGGGTGCACCAGCTGTTGCTTTGAATGCCTACGGATGCAACAAATGATAAATTGATCAAATAAAAAGCTGATACAAAAAGAGTATTAGAAATAGAATCTAATGTTGAAAGATTCAATCTGACTTACTTGTCTGATAAGGACGGAGATACGGGAGGAGCAGGGACATTAAGGTCTACTGCATTGTGTTGCGTTGATTGACTAGTTGATGATAAATTTTCAACCGGAGACTCTCCTCTGCTTTTTTGTTGTTTGGCAGTTCCTTTCACTACATCTGATAACCGGCTGAAATTTGAAATGATCATGTAAGACAACAAATTCTGCTACCGAAAAAAAAACAATTGAAATGGTGGGGGTCACTTAGAGGTATCTTGTTGGAGTTTATCAGAACATACCAATGAGTATATTTTCCTTTCCTGCATGGGTTCCGCTCGACGACAGCAAGGTCGCCGAGCGAAACCTACAAGTAAATGAGAAACAAAGACTGATAAGACTCTAATGATATTGATAGGACACCCCTGGTATAAATAGGAAACGTTAGGGACTTTGATGAGTGATAGTCTTTGAATTTGAAAAAACAGAAGTAGAATTTTTGGGTGATATTTTGCACTAATGATGCCTCAATAATATGTCTCAAGAAAGTTTCTAACTTTGTATGAGGCTTGGAGAAAATTGAAATGAAAATTTTAGGATTTTGGACTAAAAATAATATTCCACTTGCACACAATGCAGGTGCTAAATTGGAATTAGATACAAAAAAGTTTTGCAAAAGATAATTTTATCGTTGTGGAAATAGATAAAACCAACATATTGGTTGCCACCGCAGTTATACTTATTTGAAGCACACAGGATCTGACGTGCACAGTAGGGGTGATCGAAATTCCCGACTTGAGCGCAATTCTTACGGGATAGGGGAAAAAGGTGGCCAAATTGCACGTAGATTACAGGAAAAATTGTCCGCAGCCGTAATTCCAACGGGAACATAGCGCTCAAGCCCTTCGAATATTTGCATCGTTAAAATGCCTAAAAAATCAGGTTTTTTCTCATTCGGGTCGGTGAAGGTGCCCTCAAACACGCAATTTCATCATCAAGCACATGTTTTCTTATCATCTTTTCACGAGGAATCGATTTTACTGGTTTTCAAAACGATATATCGATGTTTTCAAACGATATATCGATTTTTTATTCGATTTTTGCGAAAAATGTGATAATTTTTAGCACTAATTGAATCAAATTCTATTAGTTAGTGATATATAGGCAAAAGTTTTAATGCATATAAGTAAACTGGTGCTGACATACACTTGTATACACAAGGCACTTACCCTCAAAGCAGCGTATACTGACCATTCTTCAGTTTGGGTACTAGATGATGGCCGGAATGCCGGGATTCTCGGCGTCGCAGCGATTGCGTTTCATGGCTCATCAGTCGAAAAAACATTTTTTTCGAAATCTGACGACGGGTATCTAGTGAAGGTGAGTTGCCTTTTGGCATCAAACGACGAGGAAAAAATCCTGGCTCCATAGGACAACACTTTCATCGAAATCATGAGGTTCGAACTTCCAAAATCTCAAATTCTCGTTTTTACCGTGTATTTTTTCTAAGATAATTTGGATGATAGAACTGACACGACTGACACGTACCATACGTGTTTTCATAGATAATTTGAGTCGAGGAATCGACTTTTGTGTTTGAAAAATCAAGATATCGATTTAAAATATCGTTTCTTCCGATACTTCGTCCGAAAAATCGATTTTTTGTGTAAATCCCAAGAAATTTTGATTCATCAATGCAAGTCTTTGATAAATCGACATTTTGACTTCAAAAATAGATTCCTCGTGAAAAAATACAGAGAGTACCGGAGTTACACCTGCTTAAAGTACGTAGAAATGCTGACAACTAGGGTACGATTCATACAAGTTTTCAAACTGAATTCGCTGATGGGTCATTCCACGCAAAATCATCCAGCGACTCTATCTTGACCGACCCTGACTTTTTTTTATAATTACGTTACTTCTTAAGCCTCATGATTTCGATGAAAGTGTTGTCCTATGGAGCCAGGATTTTTTCCTCGTCGTTTGATGCCAAAAGGCAACTCACCTTCACTAGATACCCGTCGTCAGATTTCGAAAAAAATGTTTTTTCGACTGATGAGCCATGAAACGCAATCGCTGCGACGCCGAGAATCCCGGCATTCCAGCCATCATCTGGTACCCAAACTGAAGAATGGTCAGTATAGGCTGCTTTTAGGGTAAGTGCCTTGTGTATACAAGTGTATGTCAGCACCAGTTTACTTATGCATTAAAACTTTTGCCTACATATCACTAGCTAATAGAATTTGATTCAATTAGTGCTAAAAATTATCACATTTTTCGCAAAAATCGAA